GTAATCTCCGAACGCACCGTCCTCATCTCTTACCACTGGATTTGGGCATTGTGTTACAATTGCCTGTGTCCGAATCTGCGCTTTTATTCTCTCCCCTAGAACAGTGGTTGGCACGTGGTTCTTATGCCACACATTTAGGTCGAGCAAACGAGCTACCAACTTGCTAGTACTCTGTTGTCTTATTAGACTTAAGAAGCGTCTAAGGCAGTGCGGGTGGAGATGGAGAGAAAAGGTGAGTTTCAGGACATCTTTATAAGGTGGAATGAAAATGGAGGAGCAGCATAGATGTGGGAACAGAGAATCTCTGTTAAGTGCTGGGGTTCCAAGAGGGCGAGAAGATGGGGAGCCATGATGAATTCAGTTTGGGACATGCTAGGTTTAAAAAGCATTTGCAGTGTCTCCAGAAAGAAATGGATAATACATAGTTTAAAATACAGGACAACTTGAAACATTCCAACATCCAAATCATAGGGGTGCCAGAAGGAGAAAAGGAAGAGCAAGAAATTGAAAACTTATTTGAACAAGTAATGAAGGAAAACTTCCCCAATCTAGTAAAGGAACTAGACTTGCAAGTCCAGGAAGCCCAGAGAGTCCTGAAAAAACTGGATCCAAGAAGAAACGCACCAAAGCACATCATAACTAAGTCACCCAAGATAAAAGATAAGGAGAGAACCTTAAAAGCAGCAAGAGAAAAGGAGGTAGTTACCTACAAAGGAGTTCCTGTAAGACTGTCGGCTGATGTCTCAAAAGAAACCTTGCAGGCAAGAAGGGGCTGGAAAGAAGTATTCCAAATCATGAAAGGCAAGGACCTACATCCAAGATTGCTCTATCCAGCCAAGCTTTCATTTAGAATGGAAGGGCAGATAAAGTGCTTCCCAGATAAAGTCAAGTTAAAGGAATTCATCATCACCAAGTCCTTATTATACGAAATGTTAAAGGGACTTATCTAAGAAAAGGATAAAAAATATGAGCAGCAAAATGACAACAAACTCATAACTATCAACAACCTAACCTTAAAACAAAACAAAACAAAACAAAAATAGAAACAAACTAAGCAAACAACTAGAATAGGAACAGAGTCACAGAAATGGAGATCCCATGGAGGGTTATCAGTGGGGCGGGGGAAGGAGAGTGGAAGAATGGGGGGGAGGTACAGGGAATAAGAAACATAAACGGTAGGTACAAAACAGACAGGGGGAGGGTAAGACTAGTAAGGGATATGGAGAAGCCAAAGAACTTACATGCACAACCCACGGACATGGAACTAAGAGCAGGGGGAGTGCTGGAGGGTGGAGGGGGTGCAGGGTGGAGGGGGATAAAGGGAAAAATTGGGACAACTAGAAATAATCAATAAAATATACTTAAAAATGATATGGATACAGAGCTCTGGATTGGTCAGAGCTGGTTAATGGTGTTTGAAACTATTGCAGTGGGTTTTTACCCAAGAGAAATGCACAGTAAGCATTTTGGAATGGTGTCATTGACGAGGTGGCATATGGACTAATGTCCCTCAGAAATCATGGACGGGCATAGCAAGCAGGGAGAATTGTTTTGTTTCTTTCAGTGGTTGGGAATCTTCTAATATCCGTAATGAATGCATTTTTCTTTTAATTATTTCATATGTGATTTCTGCACTACATACCATACAATTAGTTGGGATATTAATTCTGAAGACCACAGAGATCGGATACCTCTTTTAATGTTATTTTTCTCTTCTGGGCCAAGTTCCAGATAAAGAGTTTACATCTTACTGAGTGTTTTTGTCCTTGTCGTCATTTTGCTATTTATATACCCTTGTGATTTGTTGATTTAGAAACCTCAGCTCTAGAAGTGTTCTGTCTGGCTTCAGGGATTCTTAGGATTGGCTTTGTCTTTGTGTCCCTGTAATGGGGACCTACCTCCCATCATGTTCCTCCTCAGTTTACTGTTTATGAGGTTCAGCAAGGCCCTCAACTAAACCCAGAATGCTGTTCATGTTTAATGGCGCCCTCAGGTTCACCTGGAAGGGGTTGGCGACACTTTCATTTGGCTGTTTTCCATTACCCTTCATTTAATTTTTAGTATTAATCTTATAACACAAACTCCGAGTCTAGGTCCCCAGTCAATATTCCTGTCTTCATTGTTCTCCCAATTAGGCCAAATCTATGACAGGAAGTCAGGGGTCTGAGGGGGAAGTAAATCTTATCACTCACTCAAACACATCTTGCTTTGAATTGTTCACACCTAGAACCTTAGTGCTTCAGAATGGCACTACCAGGCGAGTCGTGTCATTATGATCTACCAGACTGACGGAGCACATGTGACCATGAACTCAATTCCTGCAGAAATCAGTATGTTTTTTCCATAGCAGTAGCTCTCAACTTTCCCAGGCTAGCACAGCATAGAAGTACAGTAGAGGCAGCAGCACGCTGGACAGTGATTCCTCGCTGGGATTGGGGAGCTTATCAGAATCTCCAGGGGTACTTATACTCTGAAAAAGTACCCCGGGTGTGATTCTGATTTGCTTCCTTCTCCCCCTCCTCTGACAATCACTGTTTCATCCAGAAGCTTCCGCATACATAGGCACATCTGTTGGTATATCATCCTTGCATTGGTGAGCTGCCTAATCCCAGCCGCCATGCTTCCATTTTGCGTGGTCCTTGCAATATCGTAACTTCTGGAACTGATGTCTGCCTGTCACCAAAGGTGCGGCCGCCACTGCAGCAGCCCCATTAGTTTGGATTCTTACAGAGCATGGAGTTCCCCAGAGCTTCTGGCCGCGTTTCATGGTGTGGTTTATGTAAATGGCAGCTTTTTGCAAAGGCTTAGACCAGAGTCCAGGATTTATACTAACACCATCCCCTGTCTATGTCAGTTCAACATTTTATGATGAAAATTTTCGAATCTGTACCGCAGCTGGAAGAATTTTAGGGTGAACTCCTGTATATCCACCACGTAGGTTCTACAGTTAACATTACATTTGCTTAATCACATACCTACTGAAATGTTTACTCCTCTGTCCATCTTTTCACCACTTTTAAGCACGTCACGGTACAGTCTGGATAAAAGTACAGTATGCCCTGAACACCTCAGCGTGGATACCATTAATATTTACGATGTTTTCTTTTGATGGGAAATTGACATACAGTGAAGTGTCCTGATCTCAGTGGTCATTAGCTACCTTTTGACAAATGCATTTCTCTGTAGAACCCAAATTCCTATCAATATATGGAAGATTTTAACACCTTTTTTTCTGCCCAGATTATTTTCTCTTGACTTTATGTAGTAGCTGAGTTCAAGGTAAGAAAATAGCGTCTCACAGCTTTCAGGACAAATCGGGATCAGTGTTTAATGATGCATCCACAGATTCTCTTCTCCGTTGCCTAAGTGCCTTGTGTTTTAGACTGTGTGTGAATGTTTTCAAACAGGAGTCTGAGGGCGTAACTTCCCTTTTTACTTTTTAAGTCATTATTTTGGAAAATACCGTATTGAGGTATAAATACCTCACATCTAGGTAAGTACTATATAAGGCAAGAAAGAGCTCTAGTTCAATGAAATGCGAGGAGTTAGAGATAGGAACTAAGTCTAACATAAGAACATAGGAATATAATAGGAACGTAAGTGAGAAGCAGAAAGAGAGAGGGAGATAGGAAAAGCATTGCAAATATTAGTATAGCATGTATTGATACGTGGTTAATTGATTAAAATACATATAATGTGTATCTAACATCACAAGAGTTCATAGTCTATCTCAACAACAGCGGCACACCATGCATTCAGGAATACCAGCGTATCATCATTGCCTTTAGGAAATGCACCTTAAATTCATCTCGCTAGTGGTCTTGCATGTTATTTTATTTTTCATGCCTTTATGCCTGGTAAATATCTCTTCTTTGGTTTAATTTTAGAGTGATATACTATGTTTCAGTTTATACCAATATATTTAAAATATGGCATAGGTTTGAAGTTATGTGCTTGCATCTTATTAGGAATGCATATACATTTATTATTCCTAATAAATACACATATATGCATCCCTGATAAAATAACTCTGGTCCCATAAGGAGGAGCTGTGACAAAAGTAAATTGCGATAGTCCCCTCATAAAAAAATACAGCAAACACGCGGGCATTTGCATACAGCTTCTGAAATATTGCATACTGGCTTCGTCGGTGGTGGTGAGTCCATTTCAAGGATGTTGCCCTTAGTCCATTAGTTTGGATAATGAGCCCTATAAAGTACATTTATAACTTGTGGCACCGCAAGGAGATGGATTCTAATTTTCATCCTTTTATCTAGACACATTGAAAGAAGGTCAATGGAGGGTTCGGAATGATTCATTGTCCCAACACATATCAGATGACAGAAGCCTGATAATGTCCATGCGGAAGTGTTTTCCTTATTTGGAAAGAGCACTTGAAAGAAATCTTTCTATGATCCTCCTTTGAAGTAAAGTGGAAACAGATATTAAAAGAAGCTCTAGGCCTGGTTTTGTTTTTTTTTTTTGTCTAAAACATTATCACACGTGTGACCAGATAGCTATTCTTGAACAAAAGAAAAAGCAACACGTAACAGAAAAATAAAAAGCCTATAGTAGCTTTTACAGGCTGTGGATAATATAGCAAGGTATTTAATCAACTTTTCTCTTCCCCTTTTCTTAGATTTGTTAAGGGGAAAAAAAAGAGCCTGTTTTCTAAGCAAAGGAAGAAGCTTCTTATGTTTTCCTAAGCAGTAGAAAAACTTATACTATATATGTGTTCTAACTTTATTCTTAACACTATCATTCAAAATAAATATTTAAGATTTATTCTCACATGTATTTTACAGGTAAAAGTCTTCAAATACCTATAAGAATATAGATTCTGTACTTAGCGTCAGTTTTGTGTCAAATTGTAGGTGTCATTAAAATCTTGTCTTCCAAGCGATTGATTTTAGATTCACAGTCGGGAGCTGATTATGTTCATTTGCTCAATTATTGAATCATCAATGAGAACATTTTTGCTGTGCTTGTCTTCTTTGCAGATGCAAAGCTATCATAGATCAGTTTGGTCAGAGAATAATCTCTAAGCATTTTCTTGTGGAGGACAGTTACTTTTCTGAGAACACATGTTCACGCGTGCAATACAGGTAAGACGCTGCCTCACCCACGGTCTGCGGGAAGGGGAAACACAGGGAAATGTAACTGTGCGATTACCTAGATATTTCTGTATAACCATTGTTCAAGTAAGCTGCAGACATATACCAAAAAAAAAAAAAAATGTGTAGGACACGTTACCATTGTTTTCTTATAGGGTCTGGTTTTGGGGGGAGCGTAGCCTAATTTTGACTCCTTTGCATTGGCTGGGCCATGTTTGCAGGTCTCACACCCTTCCTGTCACTAGCCAATGAAAGATTAAAGCAGAACTTGACTCACTTTGGGGAGGTGATACTTTCATCGTGACTTCATATCTTTGAAACACACCTTCTTGAGGTTGTATAACTATAAATGAAACTTACCCATGGAATCGGAATCACTGATTAACGGTTTTGTGCATTGCAGGCAGATCTCCAGAGCGGTCCTGATTACAGACAGATCTGTCCTGCAAGCGGATTCAGATCAACAGGTAATCTTAGTCCTGCGCATTTTAGTAATAGGTCGCTGATGTAATGCACACGAATATTGTGAGGTAAAATGGATTAAGCAAATGTATTCATTTTTTAATACATTTTAAGTACATAATGACAATTGATTGGTAATGATTGTGGTTTCTTAAAGATCTTCCAACAGAACAAGTAAAATGCTACAAAAATTGGACTAAATCCTAATTTTTAAAGGTTTTATGTATTTATTTTTAGAGAGAGGGAAGGGAAAGAGAAAGAGAGGGAGAGAAACATTACTGTGTGGTTGCCTCTTGAGCACCCCCTACTGGGGACCTGGCCCACAACCCAGGCATGTGCCCTGACTGGGAATCGAACCGACGACCTTTGCTTGCAATCTGGCACTCAGTCCACTGAGCCACACCAGCCAGGTCTAAATCCTAGTTTTCCAACAACTATTTGTTTGAAACTGGAAGTACATCATTCTGAGAAGAGAAAGATAATCCCCAGAGAACTCATTTAACAATCTTAGGGGAAAAGGCTTTATGCTAACCAGCCCTCCAACACGGGTAATGAGTCCACCACTAGGCCTTGCTGGTATGTCCTTATTGCCATTGTTCATTTCAGTGCCCTCTGCCCGCTCCACACCCCCAATTCTGTAGGAACGTCTCTGTACCTGTGCTTTTCCCTCAGTCTGTTCACCTAAATTCCAGAGACATGCCCTGTTCTACCTCGAGTTGTATCTTACAGTGACTGAGAAAACCAGCTTCCTCCGCGTGACTGTCAGACCTATTCTATATGTTAACCACTGAAAATAGGTTCCTACAATTCCTCAAGTTGGGTGCTCTCTGTTATATCAAACAGACCTGTCTCTTGTGTGCGTGAGCCTCAGTTCTTCCATGTAATCATTCAGCAAACAATGGTGCCTTTTACACGCCAGCCCATGTGCTGCATTCTGGGGAGACAGTGCGGACCATGGTAGCACCTCTGCCCTCATGGCTTGCAGTCTGGAGGGTACAGATACAGATGCAGAAGTAGCGGCTAGTTCAGTGTGACAAGTGTGAGTAAGGAATGGTACCGCATTCCTAGCTGTGCCTTCCAGTAAGTCCTGAGCTTTGTGAGTGGGTCAAGGAGTGACAGTGAGACCCAAAAGGGAAGAGAGCAAATAGAGATGATAGTGACGGAGCTAAGGGGTGAAGAGTAAGAGAGAAGATGGATGTAGAAGTGAAGAGGGCTTCTCTTTTATTTAAAAGATTAGTGTGTTGTCAGCTGAGAAGGCGGAGACAGTAGAGAGAGATGGGGGAAGTTACCCAGGAGAAAAGGAGGGAACTTGCAGCAACATCAAGGTACAGGCCAGGAGAAATGGGGTTCAGAAGGAGGTAAAGGTGCCACTGTTGGATGGGATGAGACACCTTTAAATAAGAGGGTGAATGCAGCACGGTTTACATGGTCGGGAGTTCCCGTCTGGTGGGTTCCATTGACTCTTTTTTTTTTTTTAAGATTTTATTTATTTATCTTTAGGGAGGGAAGGGAGGGAGGGAGGGAGGGAGAGAGAGAGAGAGAGAGAGAAACATCCATGTGCGGTTGCTGGGGGTTGTGGCCTGCAACCCAGACATGTACCCTGACTGGGAATCGAACCTGGGACACTTTGGTTCCCAGCCTGCGCTCAATCCACTGAGCTACACCAGCCAGGGCTCCATTGACTCTAAAATCACAGGGTGAGGTCATCTCCAGAGAATGGAGGTGCGAGACTGAGGATGGTCAGAGCTCAGGGAAAGATGCCACATAATCACTGTGAAGACTTGAAGAGTGACCTATCTCATGGCCACATGGCTATTAGTGCTCTCATGAGCACTAATGTCCCAGTTGAGTCTGGAGGTCATGGGTTGACAGCGGCGTTAATCTGCTCCTGTCCTTCTAGCTTTCATTCTCTTCCCCCCACCTAGCCCGGGTGTTGGCCCATTAAGAAAACTATAGTGCCTCATCGCCTCTGTTTCCTCCCACGTTACCGGCTCCCTTGTGCTCTATTCCTTTCCCCACGGTCTAGATCCCATGGTAGACCTTCAGAACCGCCCTTCAGCCAACTCCTTCAGTTCCCATGTAGCCACATGGGGAAATGCCATCACTTGGATGAGTCTGGAATGTCCGTCTGGGCCCCCGAAGGCTTCTGGAGAAAACCCCACAGCCAGACGGACGAGCACGACCACGGTGTCAGGAGCACCCACCTGGTTGAGCTGCACGGTGGTACCGACCACCAGTTAGTTCCTCCACGGCCTTGTGCCAGCCTCCTCTCCTCCCCCACCCCGTGCCTAATCCAGGCTTTCACTGTGTTACCCACACTTCTTCCCCTTAGACTTCTCAACACCCCCCCACTTCACTGAGAAAAGCGAGGCCACCTATTAAACATAGGGACCCTTGACATCCCGTTCCAGCACCCCGCTTTCTCTCTTGCATCTGCAACCTCTGCCCACTACTCACATTTACCCCTCCACCCCTGTACGTGTCCTAGCCTTTTCTGTTCCATGAGCAATCAAATGTCCCCTTGACTCCATTCCATCTCTAGCGGGTATCCAATCTCCCCCCAGCTGCTATTTACATTGTCCAGTTACTGTCTCGATTTTCTGCCTGCAGCTCATTACCTCTCATTCATTTGTAGACCAGCATGGCTCCTACCCTCACGTTTCTGCCACGTTTGGCTTGCTAACTTGATTAATTACTTCATAATAGTGAGGGCCACTGGACTCTTTTTGATTTATGATGTTAGTAGCTCTTTTCTGATATATTCGACCATGCTGCTTATTCCCTTTCTCTTGAAATCTTGTGCTTGTGGCTTCCATGACACTGTGCCCTCCTGGTCTCCTGTTTCTCATAACTCGGGTTAACCCCTCTACATCCTTGGTGGGCTCTGCCCTCCTTGGAAATCTTGGGGCTCCCGAGAGTTCTTGCGTCCGTCCACAGGAGCTCTCGCTGTATCTCCTTGCTGCCTGGCTCCATGTACTCTGCGTGACTTCAGCTCTGCATAAATGTTGGTGACGAGGACTTATCTATCTCCCAGGAGTGTGGGCCCTCAGGCTGACTTTCCTGGGGGACATCTGTCCTAGAGCCTTCAAACCGAACACATGCAGCGTGGAACTCGCCGCCTTGCCCCCAAACTCTGCATCCCGTGCTCAGTACCTGCATGAATAGCTCCGACACTGTTACAGGACTTTCCTCCTCCCGCCTCTGACATCTCGCAAGCCTCCAGGCTCTGTGCGTGTACTTCTTAGAGTTGCTTCAATCTGTCATTTCAGCCAGTTATTTCGGTCCCTATGCTCACTGCTCCTGTTTTTGAAATATCACCTCTGCCTTCTAAATGTCACTTATATGTGGAATCTAATGAACAAAATAAACTAACAAATGAAATAGAGACAGAATCATAGGCACATAGAGCAGACTTCCAGCTGTCAGGGATGGAGGTTGGGAAGGCTGGGTGAAAAAGATGAAGGGGTTAAGAAGAAAAAAAACCAGCCCTGGGTGGCGTAGCTCAGTGGATTGAGCACGGGCTGCAAACCAAAGTGTCGCAGGTTCGATTCCCAGTCAGGGTATATGCCTAGGTTGCAGGCCACGACCCCCAGCAACCGCACATGGATGTTTCTCTCTCTCTCTCTTTCTCCCTCCCTTCCCTCTCTAAAAAAAAAATGAATAAAATCTTTAAAAAAAAGAAGGGAAAAAAACCATACATAGACACAGGCAGCAGTGCGGTGGTTACCAGAGGGAAAGGGGGTGTGGGTAGTAAAGGGTAAAGGGGGGTAAGTGGTGACAGGAGACTTGACTTTGAGTGGTCAGCATGCAATACAATATATAGAGTTGATGTATTATTGAATTGTACACTTGAAATTTATATGGCTTTATTAACCAATGTCACCCCAGTAAAGTAAAAAAAAAAACATAAACACACACACAAACAAACAAACAAACAACTGGTTGCCCTGCCTCTCATCTTTTCTCTTTCAAATCCATCCTCCGCACATCAGTCAGAGCGGTCAGTCTAAAATATACATCGGCTCGGCCTTTCTTTTTGTGTCCGATGTTGTTTTCTCAGAGTCCAGGAGGTGGCAGGTGCTATGGGAGGGGGTTCCTGATTATATCCCAATTGTAGAAAATTAGAGATGATCATTGTAGGAAACAAAAGAAGTGTCACATGCTTTTGCGCTCTTGAAGAGACCTTTCATGTTTTAGTCATAACCATTTGATCATGATAGCACAACACTAAATACATATTTTAGTGCCTCCTTTCTCTTTAATGCTAAAGTGCATTTTCTGTCTTGGACAGCAGCAAAGAGAGTTAAGAGGAATATGGAGAACGCTGTTTTTGAGAAACCGTAAGCCCTCAAATGCACTACAAGTAATATGATAGTTGGATCATCATGGTTATCAAAAGAATGTGTGTTGAGAACTTGTAGGCATTGCTTTTGCGAGCTGTCAGCCTGACATTACCAGGCTGAACCGAAGCCTAATACACGCAGGGCAAAGTCCAAGTGGGGCTTCCCTTTTGGCAAGTATTTCCCAAGTGAGAGCACGTACTGGTATTTCCTCAGGGTGAAGGTTAGGTTGAAATTATTGAACAGATGCTCATTTAAAGTCTTTGAGTCCTGGCTGGTGTGGCTCAGTGGATGGAGTGCCGGCCTGTGAACCAAATGCTCACTGGTTCGATCCCCAGTGAGGGCACATGCCTGGGTTGCGGGCCAGGCCTCCAATAGGGTGTTTGATAGGCAACCACACATTGGTGTTTCTCTCCCTCTCTTTCTCCTTCCCTTCTCCTCTCTATAAATAAATAAATAAATACATAAATAAATAAATCTTTTAAAAAGTTAACTCTTTTAAATAAAAAGCCATGTATCATATCAGTAATGCTTAGGACAGCACATTGTATATCAGTAAACATTACTTAATAATAATTTTCCATTTTGCTTTTAATTCGGAGTTTCTCGTTTTATTAATGGAATGTACAAATTAACTTGAAGCCATTCATTTTGAAATATTTTGGAGTATATTTGGCTATACTTGGGTGTACGTGTTGACACTATTTTGCTTGTCTTAATATCTTTGGAATTTGTAACATTTAAAACTTTTATTCTATTTTGTAACTGCTATTTTAGTTATAAGTAATCAAAATTGATTTAATATGATCTGATGTCAAACAACAATGTGCACATAATTCAGAAGTAATAAGTCATAATTGTATCCTTTGAAAGTAAATGAACAACTTAGTAGATATTAAGAATTTTTTGAGCCCTGGCTGGTGTGGCTCAGTGGATTGAGTGCCGGCCTGTGAACCAAAGGGCCACCGGTTCGATTCCCAGTCAGGGCACGTGCCTGGGATGTGGGCCAGGTCCCCAGTAGGGGGCGCATGAGAGATAATCACACATTGCTGTTCCTCTCCCTCTCTCATTCTCTTCCCCTCTCTCTGAAAATAAATAAACAAAATCTTTTTAAAAAGAACATTATCTATTTCTATTATTAATAATAAAAATATTATTATCTATTGATTATATTAATGCACCACATGTGATATAGAAATATATAATCAGTGCAGAAATCAGACGCTGGGACTCATGTGCATGTTATGAGCAGGCAATGCTGCTCTCAAAATCCTTACCCGCTAAATTTTTTCAACGGTCAATGAGCGCTTGAGAAAAGACAGTTTGGATGTTACCTATACTCTAAAGATAGGAGAAATGAAAATGAGATCTAACAGCTGTGTCTCATTGTATTTCTGCATTTTAGATTTCCATCCTGACAGTGCCGCCGGAGGAAGCAGGAACTTCCGCCGTCCGGGTCATTGAGTTATGTTCTTCAACAATGACATGCATGAAAGGCACATGTAAGCGCAGCAGTCTGCTTCTTTGTCTTTTGTGTGTGTTTAGACAGTCAAGAGGGCTGTTATTGTTGCGGTTGTCAGGGTTGTGTTTATACAGTTTTGCCGTATATATATTTATTTATGTATTTACTTTTAATTTAAATTATTTTATTCAATCCATATATATTTTTTCCCACCATTTTTGTTCACACAGCGTATGTTCATACAGTAAGTCAGTTCATAGCTTCCCCTTCTAAACGTTTCTGTGGCTAAATCCTCACAGGCACTATTGTTACATTCTCTGGTGAAAGAATTTCTGAGACTTTCCAATTTGGTCTGTAGTTTTTCTTAAGCTTATTGGAGATATAGTTTGAGAACATTTATTTTCTTCGCTGCTACTTTTGTTGTTGACTTTTCCTTAGACTTCTTAATCCCATTATCGAACTTCTACCATGTATATAAGTCCTCCTTTTTAATGAGACTAAAGTTAGAGACTCCTTTATCTGTGCTTTTTCCTATATACATGAAAATTTGTCTTCAGCGCCATCAGATATTATGCCTTCTGCAGCATTTTCCTTAGAGATGTTTCAGTAAGCACAAGTCAGCAAGCATACACTAGCTGACACTGTGCCTGGGCCTCAACTGTGTCCTTACGGGGATTCCGAAGAGGCAGAGGTTAACATGCCTGATCGGAAGTGCTCACAATCTTCTTGCACACCTAATGGAATGAGACGGATGAACTGAGTACAGTGCACATTTCAGGATAGCTGGGGATGCATGTGGACTGCGCCCTGGGCTTCAGGACTCACAGTGTAGGGGGACAGTTAAGACAAACACAAAAGTAACTGTAAAAGACAGAGTGTGAGTAGGAGATAAATACCAATAAACTGTAAACTGTAGAGACTCACAGGAGGGAAACGTACTATCGTCAGCTAGAATTATTTGTCTGGAAATTTAATATTGTTTTACTCAAACTGCTGTTAAGAATTGTGAGAAGTGGAAGAGTAATCCGGTCGGGCATGTTTGTAATTGCTCATTGGCGCATTTTTAGGATGGTTGTTTTCAATCTCCAGGTAACTCCAAAAGCTGTGTCACACTGGCATCTTTGAATTGTCTTTTCTCATTAAAGTGAAGTCGTCCTGGTGCTTCACATAATGAGTAATTTGGGGATGACGCTCAGTTCTTTTGTTAGGTTATAATGGGACGTAGATGTCACCCTGTTTGAGCAAGCCTTTCCTGACACTGGTATGGAGGGGAGAGGAGGGATTGTCTTGTCACGGTCCCTCCACGGTGGTGCTGGAAGTCCTGGTTCCCCACTCGGCCTCGGCTGGCAGCTCAGGCTCGGGCGTCTGCCTCATTACTGCTGAGGGATGGTTGCGAAGGCCTCCACCCAGCCTCCGCTGCTCCCACCCTGGCCAGGAGGAGTGCCTTGTTACTGCCCTCTGACCCCCACGTGCCGTGGACACATTACTCAACCAGTGGCAACAGACCTGACTCGCCATTCCGCCTCCCAACTCCACCCCCTTGGGGAAAAAAGCAAGAGAAAAAGGAAGGAACAGAAAGAACTATAAAATGCCCAGGAAACAATGAACGAAATGGCAATAAGTGCATATCTATCAATAATTATTTTAAATGTAAATGGCTTAAATTCACCCATGAAAAGACATAGAGTCGTTGAATGAATAAAAAACAAGACCAATGTGTATGGTGCTTGTAAAAGACTCACTTCCGATGTGCATCTATGATCAGTGAATTTACAACCAATGAGACAAGACTATGCAATGGGGAAAGGGCATTCTTTTCAAGAAATGATGTTGGAAAATGACCTCTATCTTACACCATACACAAAAATTAACTCACAGTGCATCAAAGATTTGAATGTAAGACCTGAAACCATAGAATGGCTACATGAAAACATAGCAGTAAGCTCTGTGCGGCACTCTTACCACTTTTTTTATATGACTTCAAAGGCAAAGGCAACAAAGGCAAAGATAAACAAACTGGACCGTATCAAATTAAAGTGAAAGAAACCATCACCAAGATGAAAAGGAAAGTCATGAGATGGGAGTGGAGGGAGAGGACACTACTAAAGACTTTCAATGTCTAAATTACAAATGAGTTTTGAAAGTCTGGGAACAGGCACAAAGCATAACCCCCGATAAGGGGTTAAGAGCCAAAATATAAAGAACTCACAGTCCTGGCTGGCGTAGCTCAGTGGATTGAGCACGGGCTGTGAACCAAGGTGTCGCAGGTTCGATTCCCAGTCAGGGCACATGCCTGGGTTGCAAGCCACAGCCCCCAGCAACCACACATTGATGTGTCTCTCTCTCTCTCTCTCTCTCTCTCTCTCTCTCTCTCTCTCTCTCTCTCTCCCTCCCCCCCTCCCCCTCTCTCTCCCCTCCTTTCCCCCCTCTCTAAAAATAAGTAAATAAAATCTTTTTTTAAAAAAGAACTCACATAACTCGGAAAAAAAACAATCGATCTGATTAAAAAATGGGCAGATCATCTGAATAATTTCTCTAAAGAAGACACACAGATAAACAAGAGGCACATAAAAAGATGTTTAACATCATTAAATATCAGGGAAATGCAAATCAAAACCTAATGAAGTACCATCTCACACGTGTCAGAATGGCCGTCATTAATAAATCAACAAACAACAAGTGCTGGTGAGGTTGTGGGGAAAAGGGAACCTTAGTGCACTGTTGGTGGGAATGTAGACTGGTGCAGCCACTGTGGAAAACAGGATAGAGTTACCTCAAAAGATTAAAAAAAGAACAACCATATGATCTACCAATTTCACTTCTAGGTGTTTAGCTGAAGAAAAACTAAAACACTAATTCAAAAAGATACATGCACCCTTATGTTCATCGCAATAGCTGAGATATGGTAACAAAGTAAGTATCCACTGATGGGTGAATAGGTACAGAAAATGCGTTGGGTGCCTATATACACACAATGGGATATTACTCACCAATAAAGAGGGATGTAATCTCGTCATTTGCCACAACAAGGATGGACCTGGAAAACATGAGGCTAAATGAAATTAGCCCGAGAAAGACGATGCCATCTGATTTCACTTATGTAAAATCTAACAAATGAAACTAGCAAACAAATGAAACAACCCGACTCATAGACACAGAGAACAGATTGGTGGTTGCCAGGAGGGAGGGTGGTTGGGGAGTGGGTGAGACAGGTCAGGGACGTCAAGGTGAGAAGTACAAGCCTCCAGTTTTGAGATAACTCATGGAGATGTAACTTACAGCAATTACTCACAGGAATTGTCTGTGGTGACAGAGGATAACTGCACTGACTCTTTGTGATGACCGTTACACAGAGTATACAAATGTTGAATCATGATGTTGTGTACCTGAAATCAGTATAGTATTGTATGTCAATTACATATCAGTTACAAAAAACAGGAAGTCAGACTAAAGGATTTGTAAAGATCCCATACAATTTGAAATCTCTCATTGTCCTGATTTTGCGTGCATGTGAAAAAAAAGCACCTGTTCTGTAGATATGTTTGATAACGTGACATTTATTTTAAGCAAAAGGGCTAAGATTTTATTCTTCTAATGACTTCTCCAACTCCGGCCTTTTCACTTCTTCACAATAAAATCTTGCTGATCATTGCTATAGCTCAATCAATGTACAAATACAACATATGCACTATATACAGATGGACTGGCTTTGGTTTTGTAGTCCTAGTCATACAGCTTAAACCTGGAAGGTTGACTGGAGGAGAAAAGTTTGAATTTATTATTTATTATTTATATTTTTGCCTTGGTGTAGAGAGGAAGTGAAATTCTTTTACTTTTAAATCTTGTATGCTTTCTACCTTTGATAACATGCATTATTTAAAAAGTCCTAGCGAAGGTATTTGTCTTTCACCACCTGGCTTGTTTCACTTAGCTTAATGCTTTCCAGCTCCATCCATGCTGTTGCAAAGGGTAGGAGCTCCTTCTTTTTCTCTGCTGCATAGTATTCCATTGTGTAAATGGACCAAAGTTTTTTGATCCACTCATTCACTGATGGGCATCTAGGTTGCTTCCAGCACTTGGCTATTGTAAATGGTGCTGCTATGAACATTGGGGTGCAAAGGTTCTTTTGGATTTGTGTTTTAGTATTCTTAGGATAGAGTCCCAGCAGTGGAATTGCTGGGTCAAAAGGCAGTTCCATTTTTAGTTTCCTGAGGAAGTTCCATACTGCTTTCCACAGTGGCTGCCCCAGTCTGCAGTCCCACCAACAGTGCACTGGGGTCCCCTTTTCTCCACTACCTCTCCAACACTTGTTGTTTGTTGCTTTATGATGGCCATTCTGACTGGTGTGAAGTGGTATTTCATTGTTGCTTTAATCTGCATCTCTGGGATGGCTAGTGATACTGAGCATCCTTTCATATGTCTCTGGGCCTTTTGCATGTCCTCCGTGGAGAAGTGTCTGTTCCAGGTCCTTTGCCTGCTTTTTAATTGAACTGTTTGTCATCCTGGTTTGGAGTCCTGTGAGTTCTTTATATATTTTGGAGATGAGAATACCATATGATCTCACCTATGAGTAGAACCTAATCAGCAAAACAGACATCTCAGAAAACTAGAAACAGAGACATGGAAATAAAGAACACAGTGACAGTGACCAGAGGGGAGGAGGGAGGGGGACAAAGGGGGAAAAGAAGGGGAAGAGTCAAGGAACTTGGGTAAAGGGCACGTGGACAAAGACAATGGGAGGGGGGGGAGGATTGAATGTGGAAGATGGGGGAGGGGAGGGCGGGAGACAGTAATGGGAGGAAAATGAGCACAGCTGTAATGGAACAACAATGAATAGAAAAAAACAAAAAGTCCTAGAAAAGTTATAATAAAGCTAATTCTTGATTATAATATATAACAAGATTTAAAAAGTACATTGAGATAGAAACTGACATTTATGTCATTGGCTTGCTTTCATTACTTAAATACAGTTTGGCTACTTTTTTTTCCTTCCTCCTTTTCTTATACTTTGTGCTTGTTCACAGACTTTTTGGAGTCATT